CCCCCCGCGCACAGCCAGCCCCCCCGGTGTTTGCCTGCCATCGAGGTTGGGTTTACGTCGCTTGGCAACGACGTTGTAAAACAAGCCAATTCACTTCGTGAACTCGGCAACCAGGTTACCGCTTTTTTTAACTTGTTTTTTTTTTGCGGTAACCGTAATGGTGGTCGAGTAGATCATGTTGTGCGGGGTGGAGAACCCTCACTCCGCGCAAGGGGGGTGATCGCACCACGTCGTGTTAAAATGGTCAAGCGTCCTCGAGGCAGTTACACAGTGCTTTAACTGTCTCTGGAAGTGATAGCACCAGAAAATACACTAAGTCATACGCAGCTGTCATCCGTACGCAAGGAAGTAAGCACAAGATGCCGAAGACCCTTAGCTGGAAGCTGACCCTTCATGCGACTCGCCAAATACCTCACGGCGCTTCGCGCTTGGTGATGTGAGAACCTGGTCCGGTGAGAACCCGGCGTGCTCCGTCCCGGCTTTGTAGGGATGCGAGGTCAATGGTCTATCGACTACGGCATGCACGACTATGAGTACACCCCCCATGAGTACACCCCCCCCCCCCTCCCACACGCTCCCCCCTGTGTTTGCCTTCGGGGTCGGGTTTTCGTCGCTTGGCAACGACGTTGTAAAACAAGCCCCCCCTCCATGTTTGCCATCGGGATCGGGTTTTCGTCGCTTGGCAACGACGTTGTAAAACAAGCCAATTCACTTCGTGAACTCGGCAACCAGGTTACTGTTTTTTTTTACCTCGTTTTTTTTTTTTTGGCGGTAACCATAATGGTGGTCGAGAAGATCATGTTGTGCGGGGTCGAGAACCCTCACTCCGCGCAACGGGGGATGATCGCACCACGCTGTGTTAAAATGGTCAAGCATCCTCGAGGCAGTTACACAGTGCTTACAACTGTCTCTAGTGAAAGCACCAGAAAATACATTAAGTTATACGTAGCTGTCATCCGTACACATGGAAGTAAGCACAAGATGCCGAACACCCTTAGCTGGATGCAGCGCACCCTTCATGCGACTCGCCAAATACCTCGCGGTGCTTCGCGCTTGGTGATGTGAGAGCCTGGTCCGGTGAGAACCCGGCGTGCTCCATCCCGGCTTTGTATGGATGCGAGGTCAATGGTCTAACGACTGCGGCATGCACGACTATGAGTACACCCCCCCCCCCCCGAATGACCCCGATTTTCGATTTGTAGGCCTATGTGTCTTGACATTCTTTTCACGTGTACCCTACCTACAATGTCCCGCGGTGCTCCTTTGCAATGAGGAGACGACACACGAACTAAGGCAAGTGGGCTGGCGCAGGTATTTGGGTGGGAGAGCTACAAATAAATGTCTTTATCGGCTGCAAAAAAGTATCTGTGCTGATGAGTCATCGGGGTGGTGGTAGTATGTACTGTAGTGAAGATCCATTACTTTTGGGGTGCAAGTCAAGTCCATCACGAAGAACGCATGAACGACTATACATGTATGTACACGGAACGGAACCACGACAAAAACAGACCGTGCGGCCAACAAGTCTACACCACTACATGGGGTACTGTAGAGCTTGTCATCGACGGCCCGAAAACCAGACGACGAACCTAAATAGAGTATGAGACTACGGACGTGTTCGACCGACAAGAATGACGGCTGGAGTACGGTAGAAGGTACACAGAGTGGTGTCGCCAACAGCGGTACATGGTACTCACGCAAAACAGATGCGCGCGAGGTGGACAACACTATACGGGAAACGAAAGAGCGCAGGATTGCATGCAAAAAAAAAAGCGAATAGTCGTACTCCCATGTCTCGAGTCCTCGCGAGATCCTTTCTGCTGTGCAGTACTTCGACAATGATATGCCCACCGGGTCAGACTAGGACCGACTAGTGGCACCAGGTAAACAAATTACGTGAAACGGCCATGACAGAATAGAGGCCGAATCAAACCATTCGAAGACTATGTATGTCGACAACAGAGGATTAGTTTTTTTACTTATCAGCGCTCTCCTCAACTGGATGACGAGCCGGTCGATTGACAAAGATGGTGGATTGAAACCTTGCTCACTCTTAACCTCGGAGACATAAACGCTTGCCTGTCCTTGTGCTACAGCTGCGGGAGAACAGGAACGATAATCAAACATCTTGCAAGCACGTGCCCTTCCCGTGCCACTGAGACAACGACCTTTGCTTCATTTTTCCCCTATCTTGTCGACCACAGGGGACACGGTACTTGCTCCCCGCAAAACCAAGGACGCTGTGCCCATGCGAGAGGTTTCACAAGCCCAACATCGACCGACAGGAATCCACGCACGTCGTGAGAGTAATTTCGCTGCGTCCTGGATGTCAATCTATAATCGTTGCTACCGCTCCACGCCGGGAAGGTCTCACGCGGGGATTCTCACCAAGTCGTATCCATACCGATGCACCCAGGTCTTCGGGTGTCGGGGATACTCCTACTTCGCACATGCTGGTACCAACGACTAGAACGGGCGTCGAGAAACCAACCAAACAGCAATCCGATCGAACACGAAAGTTGCATATTCCCAGGTAGGCAGAGACAACCAACGCCAATAGAAACAATAACGCAACACAACCGTTTCGATTCAGCGCTCTCTGTTGCGATTTCCTCCGCCTCTTCCTCGTGCCACGGTACGTGGAAACAACAGCATCTGGTTGACGTCTCCCTCGGTCATGGCGATGGATGGCACCATGGAACCATTCGCCAGCCGCAAACGCCACAGCAAGGAGGTAATTCGAGCCGAAGCTTTATCAGCGGCAATCACGCCCTGTTGTAGGGTATTTGTCCGCTCTCCCGCGCGCGCGAATGGAGGGTCATCGACGTCCTGAGATGGAGGCCAAAAGAACAACGGGAGAACCCCAGACAAAGCAGGCATCTCGTCATGGCGTCTTGTTGGTGACGTCACTCCGAGAACGCAAGCAATTCGTTTCGCCGTTGAAGAGAAATTGCCCAACCTACTAATGCAGTAACTCGCGAACCTACTTCTAAGGTATGCCAGACGTGGAATGAAACAGAACGATAGGAGGTGCGGGAAAATTTAGCTACAGCCATGAACAACAAACAAGTCGGCGGCACCACCACTCTCTTAGACGTTCGTAGAAGTAGAAGTAGTTGACATGGGCAAGCAGACGGTCCTTGACAGTACCACGTGCATCCGTGAGTCAGTGCATGACCAGCTGTGAGATGGGAGAAGAGCTCTTGGGTAAACGTGTGCAGGAGACTTTCAACACAGCATGACGTCCTCAGCATTCATCACCAAACCAGAACGAGAGAAGCGTGCTCGTCTACAGTACAGTTGCCAACCAGAGCGGAGCAAAAAACAAAGAGTGAACGGCGGAGGCGACTCACCCTGTCGTATGGTGGCCTTAATGATCTGTCCCTCAAGCTCTCTCAATCTCGCTTCATGTTCACGGTGCTTTTCGTCCTGCAGTGCCTCGAACTCTCTTTGTTCGGAGACAGTCACCGGATGGTGATCAACCGCTCTCGCCGCTGATACACAGCAACAGAGAAAGCACATACATGAAAGGGTAAGCGTGCCAGAAGTCTCTCTGCCACAAGTTCTTGTTCGAAATCTCCCGCAGAAATCCAACAGTGGGGTGGGCGGTTCGGGCGGGGGAGCGGCGAAATCGCACAGGGTGAACGGGCAAGAAGTAGCCGGGCGCACGTTGGCTTGATTGTGTGACTCAGTACACGTGGAACAGAGCCCGTGTGGGAAACAACAGCGCCATTATTTCGTGCGCAGTCGTGATACGGGATTGGAATCTCAGACCGCTGGGAACTAGCGCCAGATTCTTGTGATTGTCCCGTTCACAAGGCTTCTTCACGAAGACGACTGAAAGACTCGTTCCCCAAACAACAGCAAATACACCCTCAGCTATAGGTCCGCGTACTCGGCCCTTGTCCCGTACCAAGATGACTACGTAGAACAGCCGGCTCCACCCAACACCCATTCCCATGTTGGAGGACACGATGACCATGGTTGTCGACCGTCGGCTCACCTCTATCTCGAGCTCTGTCCAAAAACCCTTTCGCCGTCTCTGATACAGCCACCCTTCGCCTGAGAGCCAGCTCACCCCCTGTCATCGGTGGTGAAAATACACAAGAAGGGAACGATGCGGGATGGCAACCTAGCGGCTCAGTAACCTGGGGATGGTGGAGGTGCTGTTCTCGGCCGTGCCCGTAGATTTCTTACACTGATCAAGGTGGTGGCAACACAACAGCAAGTTGACTCACCGAAATCCACATCATCGTCCGGCTCACTGTCGAGCTCTGGGACATGTTGCTCCAGTTTTTTCACCTGTGTAGTTGAACAGACACGACGAGAAGAGTGCTTCCTGATCGCGAGGGAGAAAAGTTTGCAGGTTATCCGCCAAGCTATTTTTCGTGTTGACACTCGACTCAGAATACGCTGAATGCCCGAAATCTATAGCTCAGCACGCAAACATACAGTTGCCTTTGCATGCGCAGTCGGTAGCTTTTCACCTTGCGCTCGAGCTCATCCTTGGCGGACGCCAACCCTTCCAGCTCTGCTTTCTGCTGTCGCCTGCCGGACTTGAGAGCTTCCAGCTCAGCTTGCTGTTTTTCCTTGACGGACTCCACTGCTACGAGTTTTGCTTGCTGCTCTTCCAGCTCCGCTTGTTGCTTGTCCTTGGCGGATTTCAAGGCTGCTAACTCTGCCTGTATGGCGGCAAACTCTGCCCTTGAGGGCAACCCGCTGTCGTGGGCGGCCGCCCCAGCAGGCGGAGATCGGACCATCACTTCCTTCGGCGTGCCGGGCGTTGCGGCGGGTTTATCATCAGCCTCGGGAAGAATCTCCAGTAGAAGGATCTTGATCTGATCACAGGTGAACAACACGAACACCGTGTCCAAGCCGAAAAAAATTGTCGATTATTGTGTCATGGAGGGTCTTGATGGAACCGTTTCCTTCCAATCACGATACGTCTGTGCCAATAGCGTGTGCCCCGCTAGAGTCGAAAGCCCTCCAGCCTTTACGGAGACTGGTGTCAATGTTCCCGTCCCTCACTCGGCAATACGGATCAGCTGCAAAAGCTACGCGACGGGCCAAGAACCCACAAGGAAAAATGCAACCACAGACGACATACACCTTGTGGCCGGAACACATGCGAGTCCTCACCTTTTGTACGGTGCCATTTGAGCCGTCAAGGCAACCTCCCTGAATAGCTTTCAACAGCTTGCGAAGGTGCCTCTTGCCCAGTCGCTTCCCGCCCTGAAGGAAAGAAAGGGGATCATAGTCGACATGATTAGAGCGGTATCGTTCTTCTTTCTGGAAGACATTTCCCATGTTGAAACCTCCTTAGGGTAGACGACGGTTTGGCCACACAACGGCCAACAATAACCATGCCTATGTCCTATGTCGTGTTTCATGGACTTACATGGTCGTTTCGTTCGTCGGCGGTCACCTCTTCAAGCAAGTATTTAAAGACGTCCTCTTCGCTCATGTCCCCAGGCATCATATCTGCGCCTCGGCCACATCCAGACCCGCCTGAGAAACACAAAACAATATCGTTGCCACAGTCAATAAAGGTTAGAAAGTTGGTGCGTGGACAGTTGGCGCTCTTCTGCGCTCGGGGCAGTGCGTTTGTACTTTCGCTGGCGATAGGTGGAAATGTACTCCAACCCCGAAGGATAACAGGAGAGTCCACATGACGGCACATTTCGATTAATTTAAACATCTCAACATGCAGCCATGCGCCTGCGATCTCCAGTGACGAACAAGAGATTTGACTGGTCGATCCGAACGGAGCTGTGATATTCAGTCCTTCTTTCCCACCGCACCGTTCATGCCCGCCGTGGTGTTCACCCAAACTTGGTTGTTATCGTCGTCCGTGGCGCTGGCGTTGTTTCTGAGACCGTCGGTTAGTTGAAGGGCCAACCTTCTCGCCAGAGAGCAACACTCCACCGTGTCAGGAGCCATAGCCGTGATCTGCCAAGTATCGAATGTGGACGTAGGTGTTGTTCATACTCGTTTTGAGAGGGTGGGTGTACGAGTCGTGTCTAGCATCGCGCACGCCAATCCAGCATTCAACCAAGTACGTCGTACGCCAGACGCACCTTTACCAGTCGCCGAGTTTGGAGATAGGTGTCTCCAGCCTCCAACGCTTTGCCTGCTAGTTTGGGCAGTCCACCGATCAAAGGAACGGCGCTCGACATCAGCTTCAAGGCCGCTCCTACCTGAAATAGCAAAGAAAACAGTGGGGCTTCAAATGACTGGAAGCGAGCATTCCATGAACACTGCGATTATAGACAGTGCAGGATACGCGAGTCCGTAGGCTCAGATCCTAAGGCGGCGCCCACCTTGCCCATGCCGCCGGTCTTGCTCGTGATCACCCAGTCACTGTCGATGGCGCTGGCTGCGAGGTAGGCTTTGCATAAACCGGTTCTGATGGCGGTGTAGTATGCCTTCGAAAACGGAGGCAGGGCTAGCTCCTTCCGCTGGACGTTCATGTCCTCGGTGTGCCTCAGCTGCGCACACGGGTAGCATTGCGTGATTGGCGACTAGTCGAATTGCCACCTTCCATTTCCGATATCGTTTAGTCGCCGCAACGCTTTTCTAGCCATTTCTGCCGCATCCTGAGGGAATCGTATCATGCACAAGACTCACCGCCACCTCGCCTAGCGCCGTTGACATGGTCACCAACGTGCCGAGGTTCCGGCGACTCTGCATGTCACCAAGCTCGTTGTCGGGATAAAAGCTCCCAGCGACTTGTCTCTCAATGGCCAGTTGGATGTTCTCCAGAGCTGCAGGGTTTTCTCTGATGAGTGAATCCAACCCTGCAGAGGACACAAGCTGCGCTCTGAACAATCGGTCCACTTCTTCTGCCTTCTCCGGGGACGTGGAAGCACGTCCCGTAGAATTTGCGCTTCCCGCCACCACCTCCTGTCTTTGGTTGGGGGAGTCAAGCAGCACCGGGGCATCCTCCTCGGTTTCGTCGCCCGCGTCAATCTGCTGCTGCTGCGGTAGCAAGACCGTAGGGGCAGGGGGTGGAGGTACGGGAGCGTCCTTCCCCCTTTGATCACCCTTAAGAGTCCGAGGTTTCGTCCTCTGTTCGAACCGCACTCGTGTCCTCCACGAATCAAGCCCCTCACCATCCCTTGGTCCTCCTGCAGGAGAATAGCGTCAAGAGAAGACTGTAAGCCTAGTTTCTTCCGGGTGAAACTACGATTGTAGAGGTGGTGCACGAGTCGGGAAGCGCCATGTCAGACCTGCAGTTGTTGAATGAGGTAATACAAGCCCACGCCTCCCCCTTGTGGCCAGGGTCATGCCGAGAACGATTCATCAAATCTTTGTTGGAGGATACTTCCCCCTTTTACAACCAAAAATGGGGGGCACGGTTGACAACATATGAATCATATCCCAGACGTAGGGTACCTCATTGAGAAAATAGAGTATGGTGCCAACCGCGACGAGAACTACGTTGCGGTCAGAGAAATTCGAAATGCAAACCAAGGAGGGGTGAAACACGACCCAAAAATCACTATTGCTTGTCTCATTTTGAGATAAACAATGGTAGGACATTACCGCCCTTGGCGAAAAAAAAAGGCGTAAGGACGCCAAGGGGCGAGATTATCGACGAAGTCGGACAATGTGACACAGAGGCCGTTCCGGAGGCCTGCGACCACATAGCACCAAGTCATGGCGAAGATAACATGGTATTTTCGGGAGATTTATTCCTTCCAATTGATAGTGAATAGTTGCCATTTTCGGATCAACTTGGTTTCGACCATCGCCGACGTGTTTGACATGGCCATTCCCGCAAGCAAAATAATGGATACAAGCTTGAATCCTCCAGGGATTGGATAGCGCAAACCTCAAGGACCTCGGACACGGGTAAGAGCCTCCGTATATGCACTGTGTACTAGCCTGTGGGACACGACAAGTATCACTATCCAATCTTGGCGGAATCCGTACAAAATTCGGTCTGATAAACCATGCAAAGTTTTGTACTTGCTAGTACGTTGAGGGTCTATCCATATTGTGATGGTAACGGTAGACGCTTTTGTTTAGAGCTGCAACTCAACGGAGATCGCTCGCTACTATGTTTGACATGATTTTCAGAACGCGTGTACACGGAAGTATTCTCCACGTTTGTGCTGGCCATCACCTTTGACATAACCAATCCATTATGTGTGCTTTGTTCATGCTTCGTACTCACCGGTAAGTTTCTTGCGACGGCGCCAGATGGATTTTGGTGCGTTGGTTTGATACTTCAATGTCGAAAGGGCACTCAAGTTTGCCAGCTCCGTCGGGATGACTCCTGCACAAAGCAGCGTTTTGGTGGTCAGACAGAGATATATTCACCGGCATTCTGCAATCGAGACTGAAACCCGTACGCAGTCAACCTGGTGCTATACGTGTGTGTGTAAGAGAGCCTGGTGACGGTCTCACGAGGTACGTTGTTGGATCGGGTCATCTGCACAGTGGGAATAGTTCGTGTGGGGGAGATCAGCAATGTCCACATGTGCTACGGTAGCGTATCATTACCCAACTATATTGGATAGGCTCAACACAAGGGTCGCCAGCGTTCCCCGGGACTAAATTCACCATCTGTTGGCATACGGAGTACTGATTGGTCTTGCAGAACGTACAGTAAGGTGTGTCTAGGTGTCTGCATCGAGACCTGTGCCTACCCTTTTGCGGCTTCTTTCGGTCTCTAGAGTACGGGTGAACCGATGCAATATTGCTATATACGAAGGTCGGACCTGGACCTCAGCAGAAATATTCCTGACTTCATGTTTGGCTACCTGCTCAGGATTGATCGCCGATTGACGGGGCGCTTCCGACCAACGTACGGTGATGGAGCTGGATATCAACCAGCACATGGTAGTAGGAAAGGACTACCATGCTCAGATCTGGGAAAGCTCCGCCCCTTCTCCTCCCGTGTAGGCTAGACAGAATGTTGAAGTTGGACACGTTTCAACATAAGCAAGTCACTTACCCCACGACAGAGATTTTTGCTTACCGCTAGGTCTGTGCAGTCGAAGCTGAGCAAACCAAGGGCCTCCAAAACTACAGCCCAGACGTGGAAACACCGTCGCGTGCTTCGAAACCACTCTCTCGAACAATGAGGATGCGTACACTCCGAGTAACAGACTTGCCGGTGTTGTACCTCACGTACCTGATAGGTGGTTGTCGTGCAGATAAAGCTTTCGCAGGTTCTTCAAGTTGCCTAGCTCCTTGGGAACGTGTCCTGACATTTGCATCACCGAAGCAACATCCAACAAGGAGTGGTCGCATGGATAAGGAACACCACTAATACAGGCCAAGTTTCCCGTCAAGTGCACATGCAATAAATTGGTCTGTCGACGCGCTAGTCAATGAATGCGTAACCAGTTATGGTTGTCACCGACTGCTCTGTTGCATGAAACGTTAGCGACATGAGAGTTGTCTGTAGACAATTGTCGCAACAAAACACCTTGCAGACAATTTGTTTACAGCAACTATTGATTAAATTTCTTTGAACCTACGTGTCGCCGGGTTTCTGCAGAAACGCTTGGTCTTAGTATCCGAATCAATGAAGTGCAGTGTACATCTAAGCGCTACAGGTTGAAAAAGTCATGCACAACTGGAAACAGGCAAGCGAAGGTTGCAGACACCACCAAACAAGTTGTCTGTGGATCACTATTTCTTGACACCCGGTGCAAGTGGTTAGCACTGCCCATACTCATGAAGATGAAAGTATTTGGTGTGTATGGCTTATGTGTCTTTCAACGGACGTAACTGATGCATGTTCCCCGCACCGACGTTCGGAGAGATTCTTTCTAAAACGACACGGTCTCCATTTGTCCATTTCTACATTGTTTCGGAATACAATCATCATGACAAATCATAGGCCAGGTGCTTGGTTCGAAAGGACAGACTACCATCCTGATACACGTCTTCACGTTGGCATGAAAGTATTGTGCAATACCGCATTCTCCGGCAAACACAACTGCAGCAGACGTGGAATAAGGTATTTTCGTGGTCGCAGCACATGTTCTGCCAGGGCCACCGTCGAACAAACTGGATTCGCCGATCCAATTGACTCATCCGCTCTTACCTACCAGCTGGTTGCTTTGGAGCCAAAGCCATTCCAACTTGACAAGAGATCCCAGCCATGTAGGGATGGAACCTGCGCAAGCATTCAGCACAAGATTAGTCGTTTGTCGCGTAGTTTAGCATTCATTTCGTCCACACGCGCAGGCTGCGGTCGGTGTCTGCTACAGCGTGGGCGAGATACACCTTCGAAAACAATCACGTTGTCCTTGTCATCCCTCTCACCCATGAGCTTGTTGTCGCCCAAATAAAGATGTGCTAGCTCCTTGAGAGCTCCAAGCGCTTCAGGGATAGGTCCTGCACAGAAAAGGGACGAACGGACTCAGACCGGTGAAATACGATCAAGTGTTCTCCGAGACACGAGTCTAGTTCACGCGTAAGCGCCGCATACGACTGTGGCACGTTCGACACCTCTCAAATGAAATGCTGGCACCTGTCACGCCCTGGCTTAGCCAGCCTGACAGGTACTCCGAGTTGCTAGCTAATGAATACAGCCACCAAACACAAAAGAGAACAACCCCGTCGTACATGTCACAGAGTTCATAACTATGGACACGGCCTTATCATGAAGGGAAACGTCCTGCGGGCGGGGCTGTCGATCACACTGGAACCAAAACAATCTCGTCCACGCTAAACGCCGAACATTCCAACTCCCACGAACGCCAAGCGCAGCCATCGAAATTTTGAATGCAGATGCGTTTCGTTTACGAACAGGAGAACGGGGTGACAATCGCCACGTTTCGTTCGAACGCCCAAGCGGTGGCGCTAGGGATGAAATTTGGCCTCGGCCAATCACCAACTTTGCAATAGTCTTTGAGAGGTGGAACTGCCAATGTGATTCATGCCCAACCGCGACATGCGTACGTATCGCACGACCCCCAACGCTACAGAAAACACAAATTTGGCAGACATGGAAAGTGGCCTTTTGCCATCGTAGAACATGTACAGCCTGAGCCGTTGTCAAACAACCTGATTCAACGATCCCTTTCACTCGTTGCTCTCTTACCGGTCAGCTGGTTGGCGCCGAGCCCAAGCTGTCGCAATTTCTTTTGAGATCCCAGCCATGCCGGAACGGGACCTGCACGGGCATTTAGCACGTGCTGGTGACTTCTTGCGTCGAAAACAAGTCGTGACGGTGAAGCTTGTTTGTAAAATGGGCTATGCCATCCTTACGAAGGCTATGGTACTTGTATGTGGAACTTTCTGAGAAGTGCCACCGACTGTTCCACGGACGTAGGTCTTTGGGGTATCTCCCGATATCTTCGGCACGACGTGGTGAACTCCCATCGACTGTTGTTGCGTGCATGTTTGTCATGCACCTTGTGCTCACTATCCTTTCTTTCTTGTCTCCGATGGGCTACCTAATGAGCGGCTTCACCACGTCTCCACCTCTTCACGCCTTGCTCGTACAGCAGCCCTCGGCTTCGGGTCAATCAACAATGGCGAAGCATTCATTGCATCAAACCGCCCAGTCTGCCGCCGATATTTCCTGCCGCGTGGGAAAGACAGGCTTCTAAACTATTTTTCACGCTCTGGTCAACCATGTGTTCTCACCCGTGAGCTTGTTGCGGCCCAACTCAAGAAACGTAAGCTCCTTGAGAGCTCCAAGTGCTTCAGGAATTGGACCTGTACCGCAAAAGAACCAGACCAGTGATCCATGTTCAAACGTCCTTCAAGACGTGTGTCGCATCCACGCGTAAGCGCCGCGCAGGATGATATTCAGCACGCTGAACGTTCAGCACCAAGTCGGCTTCCATCACACCCTGGCCTAGCCAGCGTGACCGAAGCTCTGAGCTCCAGTGGATAGGTCTTGCGAATTGCACCGCCACCAGACACAACAGAGAGCACGAGTTGTCGCAAATTCTTTTCAAATCCCAGCCATACCGGGATGGAACCTGCGCAGGCATTCAGCACGTGCTGGTAACTCCTTGCGCTTAATCTAGTAGGCTGCCGTCGGCGTTTTGCCGTCGGCGTTTCCTATGGCTAGGGAGAGACCTATATTCGAAAACAGTCATTCTCTGATCACGCCATCCTCTCTCACCCGTGAGCTTGTTGTGGTTGAATCGAAGATACTTCAGCTCCGTGAGAACTCCAAGCGCTTCAGGAATAGTCCCTGCACGGAAAGGGAACAACAAACGAAGTCAGACCGGTTATCCATATTCAAACGTGCTTCGAAGACATGCGTCTCATCCACGGGTCACCGCTGCACATGATTCTAGCACGTTCGACATCTCCCAGACAGCTTAGCAGGTTCCTTGCACCCCCTCGAATAGTTAGCCTGGTTGACGCTCCACGCTGCTAGTATACAGGTTCATGGGTCAACCCACAGCACCAGACGCGACAGATTAAAACGCAATTTGCAAACTCTCAAGATTCTAGTACCATACAAACGAGCGTGTCTGCGATGCGATGTCGAAAAAACCTCCAAATATTCAGCTTGAAACTCGCTCTCACCAGCCAAATGAATGTCTAGAGCCGGGGCCATTCCAACTCGCTTAGGAATACAACAGTACCTTTGGAAAACAGTCGATGATTTCAAGAACAGACGAAACCTCTCTTTGGTGAGACGGGGTGGCAACGTTGTCTCTCGCCGGTTCTTTTGAAATTTCGGAGTAACCATCCTCTCCAATACAAAACTTGCGGAATGTCGGTTGTACAAGTACATGACTGAGCTGGGAAAAGTAGAAGGAAGGTACAGGGAGATGTTTGAGGCATGGAATGGCCAGGAGAAGACGGCAGCTGTACTGGGGAATAAGAAGTGGGTTCATAAGGCGGCAAGTGATACCGATAGGAAAGAAAGACTAGGGAAGAAATGTTTTAGTTACCTTTGGCAAAGTAGGAAAGAACGAGTGGCCATCGGTGACCGGTGACGTGGGAACATTGCTCCGGCCTCTCGAGCACGCGTGGTCAATGGTCTAACGGCTAAGGCATGCGAAACAGAAGAGTGTGTCCCCCCCCCGACCCCTGCAAACGCGTGGTACCTTGGTGCATTTCGGAAGTCTGCCCAATTTTCCGGCGATGGGACAATTTATTGGCGTTAGTCTTCGTTTGGAGAAACACATATTTTCTCGAAAACGCCCAACCTCATCGAAAGGGCCTTTTCCCCGCCGCGGAAGGCGAATAATGCCCGCGAGCAACAAAGACGAGCAACACCTCCAGTAGGCCCCGAGGCGTTTTTCGATGTTCTTGAGGGAAACGTACTTTGAGTGTTGCCCAAATACTTGAGGGCCCGCTCGTTTCACGTTTCACTGCAACACAAATCGCACTTCGCGGGAAAATACATGTGTGACAAAATCGGGCCTATTTGTTCCCCGTGTCATATCCCCACAGAACACTGTGGCCTCTGTGGTTAGATTGTCATACTCGTCACTCTCGACTCTCTCGATTTCGCGTTCGATACTCTTCCAAGGGAAATAATAAATTGCCCAATATAGTGGGGGGAAAAGTGTATTTGAGGAAAAACACGGGAGGAGGGACAGGATTGCTGAACCCTCCCCGCTTTAAGAATGGAAGGCAAGGATCACAGAGCGATGGATGGATAACAACGAAAATGCCCAGGGTTTAGATTCCTCCTGCGCGATCCCAGCTCGAGAGGCAAACACAGACAAACAACCGAAATATTAAAATAATCTGGCGCCTAGAACAGATGACATGAAGACACATACGCATAAAACGAAAAAACAAGCATGCATGTGAGTAAAAATGCGGTCAAGTACAGTATTTTCGTGTCACACCACCGCACAACAACATGCACGCAGGCACATCGCGCTCACACGCAACACAACCCATATCAAAAATGTTCAAATTTTGCGTCGAACAGCATTCCTTCCGGGGGATATTTCGCAGTACACTATTTCTGCGTTTTACGCATTTGTGTACTTTTGCGAAGGCGTCTTTAGTCGACAAGCAGATCCTTCATAAGGTGATCGTGCAGTGATGCTTGTGAGTCAGCATTTGCCACATATGTGCGTGTGAGGCTATGCACCTGGTAGATACATTTGTGAGTGAGGTGCGATGTGCCCACGAGCCTTGTCTACCGGTGTGGGAAAACGGTCGGACGCTTCCGGCAAACTTCGGGACATCTCGGGGACGTAATTCGGGGACATTTTGGCGCCATCCTAGATGTTTGCGCAAAACGTGTTGCCTTTCCCAAACAACAACAGGACTGCACCTTTCCATATCCTTCGAAGTGGCGATCACGACGCTTCACTCTCAAGTTATTGGCCGAAACGTTTCGCACAACGAATCTCCTGCACATCAAAGATACCGTAAGATACTAAAAAACAGAACTTTCAATACAATGTGATGGGCTCTGGGAGAGCAGCACTCATCTCGAGAAAAATTCGGAATAGGCCCAAGATACCTTCGAGATTGTTGCTGGACAGCCACAGCTCCACCACACGGCCATCGTGTTTGACGTGCACTCCGTACCACTGCGAGAGGTCAGCACCTGTGTCCCAGTTCTTGTTTCGGTGCCAACGAGTCCCGCCGGCAGACCGAAACAGGGCCACCAGGGCGGCACGATCCTCAGACGCCATTGCAAACTGCGGGGGGTTGCAAAGTGAGGCAGTGAGGGATATATGTAGGGGTAGGACGTGACGGGGTGAAACGCAGAACAACACAAGTTAAACCCAATGAACTGGCAACACATCATTGGAGGTACTCCAAGGTATTGTTGTTGTTGTTGTTGTGTGTGTCTTTACTGACAACAGCATCGCGAGAACTGGCTGACCATTGAGAATCGTCATTATCAGTGCGGCAAATAACGAAACATGCTGCTGAAGGCTATGACCTGGGACCTCGTGAAGGGGCGTCGTGGGGCGGGCTAAGCTGCTTCTCTCCGGATATAAGAGACAGAAACGGTAGAATAACGGAACAAAGACCACTACAAGGGTCAACCATGGCTACAGCCTTGCACTCGTCTTCGTTTCGGCGCCCCTTGCATTGTTGTTAGTGCCCAACGTGTTCTGGTGGCAACCTACACGTCGTTAGATGCACACATCAGCCGGGGTCACACAGGAAAACGGTACCACCTATGGTACAGTACAATACCACCCAACCACGACCACGGTGCACTGACTTCACACCAATCGGTGGACTAGCGGATAGCCTCAGGCAGGAGGAAGGTCACGCAGGGGCGTCTCATTACTGCCTTCCCTATGCTAGTCAATGGAAGTCTTTGCTCCTATCACTAGTGTTTAGCCTTCCTGGGAGAGCTTCGTCGTCAGAATAGACACCTTTTTGAATGCAGAAAAATGAGGAGAATACTATGTTCGTCCGGTGCGTATGGTGACACTTTTACAAAAGGGAAATGGACAAAAGTGGGTATACCCACGCCATTCTCGGACAAACGTGGGTACTCGAAAATCCAGTGCGCGCGCCCTCCATAGGCGACCCCCAAACGGCTCAAAACCCCATTCAGACACCTGGGCGACACAGCCAGGTACCATACACAGCACAAGCATCGATTTTTTCCCACTTTCGGGCACACCTTTGGCCCTAATACCGCCGAGGCGCGCAAGGCCTCACCAGAGTGCCCACTTCTGTCCGACATCGCGGTGCGTATACCCAGCGGCGTCCACTAAATTGTTTCATGTACCCACTTGTGTCTATATTTTGACCCACTTTAGTCCAAATTGTACCCACTTTTGTCCACTCACAGACAGCGGAAATCGAGCGGAAATCGATCTCCACGTCACCGCACGGCAGAACATCGACTGGCCTCGGAACGTCTCAGAATCCCGGAACACCGAATCCATGGCATCTTTTCTATCCATCGCTGCCGACTACAATGCATGCACCGACTGCGGAGGAACATGTCAGAAACATGGCAGACCCCTTCGGTACCGGCACGGGAAGTACCAGGCACGGGAAGATACCCGCGGTAAGCCCGGCAAGCAGCGCACTAACAGCATGCCACAAATTAATGCGTGACACACAACGGATAACAAAACCAACGGGCGAGCATACAGAACAAAAAGACGCGCATATAGCAACACAGGCACACACACGCGCCACACAAAAAAAACACCGACCACCACTACGAGTGCACACCGACTCGTGAGGGCGGCAGCAGCAGGTCGAGGCAGTTTACCACCCAACTACTACGTGATGTAAAAGGTATTCACATGCACTACGTGGATGTATATACGAAGCGCAAATCCGACCCGATATCCCGCGGTCGGTCCGCAGTCGGCAGCGATGGATAGAAAAGATGCCATGGATTCGGTGTTCCGGGATTCTGAGACGTTCCGAGGCCAGTCGATGTTCTGCCGTGCGGTGACGTGGAGATCGATTTCCGCTCGATTTCCGCTGTCTGTGAGTGGACAAAAGTGGGTACAATTTGGACTAAAGTGGGTCAAAATATAGACACAAGTGGGTACATGAAACAATTTAGTGGACGCCGCTGGGTATACGCACCGCGATGTCGGACAGAAGTGGGCACTCTGGTGAGGCCTTGCGCGCCTCGGCGGTATTAGGGCCAAAGGTGTGCCCGAAAGTGGGAAAAAATCGATGCCCGTGCTGTGTATGGTACCTGGCTGTGTCGCCCAGGTGTCTGAATGGGGTTTTGAGTCGTTTGGGGGTCGCCTATGGCGGGCGCCCGCACTGGATTTCGAGTACCCACGTTTGTCCGAGAATGGCGTGGGTATACCCACTTTTGTCCATTTCCCTTCAGAAAAGGTGCACCGAAGGTGCACATACTGGCCTTGTGCAATAGACAGAGGAAGAAGGCGTTGTGGGGATGGGAGCAACATGTCCGCCGCTAGCTCCACCTCAAAGAAGAAGCGGTAACGTACTGCAGTAGAGCAGCTGCCGAATAACACGCGGCTGTGCCCATGATCCGTCTCGGTGATGCCCTTAGGTGAGGTGAGGACTTGAGCCCAGAAACCACAGGATGAGACTCATCGTTCCCACCGCAATATTGTGGAGTACAGGGAGACTACGATCGAAAACCTGCTGCACTAGACTATATGTGAGGTGCAGCCGAGTTCTTTTGCCTAGTTCGCGCGCTCGGTAGACCGGGCATTGGCCGTGGGTGAGGGTGAGAGTTAGGGTTAGGTTTGGGTTAGGGTCGGGATAGGTTGGTTCGGCCACGTTTTGTGACACCATTTCGGATCTATGGTTCAACGAAGATGATGCTAAAATCAAATGAAATATTTTCGGAAAGATATCCCCCCGAGACGGCTCCAACGGCGCCGTTTCCGAAGCCTCCACTTTGTCTGCTCTAAGGAGTAATCGACCTTTCTTTGAAGATTGTCTCGGGGTGTGTGGTATCTTGTGTCACGTACGGTGCTGTAGGAATTTACATTTGCTGTGGAGGATGTGTGCGGTACATAACATCCTACGATCGGTGTGGACATGTCCGTCAGCAAGCTTCTGGGTACAGGCAGTAAGGCAGAGGAGGGGGCACTCGGCATACCGTATGTTACATACAGCAGTAGTGTTGATTTTTTTCCGGTGATGCAGACTGAGAGAAGGGTTGCATCTCGGTACATGTATTCCTGTTCGAGCCAAGGTGATGCTGATGATGATGCCGTTGGGCCGCAATACGCTCACCACGAAGTTGCTTTTGGTTGAGGTAGTAGCAGCATGTGCTCTATTGCATCTACCACCTCTTTTTCAGCGGTGGTGCCGTGCTACCATCGATAGCTGCGTTGAAGGTAGCGGCAGCAAGGAGGCCTCCTGTTCTTTATGTGTATTCTACAGAGACTGCTGTATTTTGACTGCACACGAGCTCAACACTTGGCAATTACACCTGCGGCACGCTCACCTACGACCTCCGTTCCAGAGATAAAGGGCTTCGAAGGTGGGGGTAGGGCTGAAGATAAGTGGAGCTAAGCCCCATGTGTTTCTATGTTGGTACACTCGAATGTTGTCGCTCTTATTGCCCTCTGCCCTCTTGCGGCTGTTGTGGGAAAGTCGTCATCGAATCGTCTCATGAATCGCTCCTTCCAAGGACCGGGCGCCAGAACGATTCTCGGGAGGTACCGGCGGGACTATTTTCTTCACCACCAACCCGCCAATCAACTGTACTCTCCAACTCTCACAACTCCCAACCAACAACCAAAGAAAGTAGGTACACCAACCCCCAAGGTTCACATCCAGCAGCATGATCTGGCTGCCTGCCAGTTCTGTACTGCACCACGCGCAAACGCCTTCACGCTGATTGTCTGCATATTTCACGCAACGCATGCTACTTTTCTGTCCTTTCCACTTTGAACAAATAATGCGGTACCATCCGTGAACAGGGCTCCTCGAAGACTTCAAGACACATCGGATATGATCCATGGGCAATGTCTGGTATATTGTCTAGTCTTCCACGACATGGTGATTTGTTGTCCTGAAGATAAGCTGTCATTGCTGTCTGTCTTAATCGAGTGCTGTTTCAGCAGAAACGCACGCACCACGGAAAGATTGGGGTGTTCACTTCCCAATCACAAGCCGGTCGCCCCGGTGGTCTTCTAGACTATGGTTGATATCCTCGAAACCTTCTAGAGGTCAGGTCAGGGGTCCGAATTCCGGCGAAAACGAGCGTTCCTTGCAAATTGAGTTTTTCTCTCGCTGGTGCTCCTGGCCTAGCGAATAGCGCTACAGTAGTTCGTGTGTATACAGAGGGAAGAGAGTGCTGAGGACCCTTCTCGCATTAGAACTCGAAGGCAACGTACCGCGGGATGGGAGGGTAGAGAGGGGCCCTTCTGTGTGACCACGGGTTGGAGTAAACAGCACTACTGCTGTGAGCGCTGATTTGAAGTGAAGACAACAAAAAAAGTAAAAAAATCCATGCGATATATTTGGCCCTGGGATTGATTGATAAACGCTGAGCCCAACATTCATGTAAGCGCCTCGCCACATGCGGTCTGTTCAACCGTCCCGAGGGGGGTGATACGGGGTACTGTAGACGGAAGCAACGGATTACGGAGACAAATACGCCGACGATACGCTACGACCCCACACGTACGTAAACAAAGAGCACCACCACACATGTATGAGAACCTCGATTTCGTCCCTGAGGTCGTTTCCGACTAACTCTGCGTTGCAGGGTAGCAACAGAAGCGACTGACTCTACTTAGTTAGACTTCATTAGGGGATGCTTCCCTTACAACGTGAATGTTCTTGTGAGTAAGCTCTATTAAGCTTCTCTTTCATCTCGAGCCGGAATGTTGTAACTCCAAGCTTACGAAAATACATGTATGCCGTTCTGTAGCGTGCGCAAAAGGATTATTGGTCAGGTCATCTATCCACATTCCGTTGGTCGCGTCAAGTTTACCCTGCATCGGACGTCAGGATTGGTGTCTGTTGTGTTGGAATATCGAAACTCTCATTTGGGAAGGCCTTGGGTCATCTTGTTCCACACTGACTTCGATCACTTGTGCGCTCGGCCGACCCTCGCATCCACATCACCGAAAGGCATGCCAAAACGTACAGCAGTACCACCACAACTCTACTCCATGCGCACGTGACACACACAAGAGACGTCTCACTGAAGTGTCTCCTCCTGTATGTCGATGAAACCAACTCTATTCGGGGGATGATCACTGGCTAGGGGCCCCTTCGTGGCCACTCTTAGCCATGCCAAGCTTCGGTAGTTGTCGAATCACACGTCAGCGATGGTGGCGCCCGCGTTGTGAGAAACCCTTTTTGTTCTCTGCGCACGGTCGATAACGAAGACAGTTCATTGGGCATGACGAAGTTGGCGATTGGCGATAGTGTCGGCGTGCGGTGTGCAGCTGCATACACGAGTACGGCTGGTGTTCTTAGTGTACACATCGTTGGGGTACCAAGCTTCGTGTTTAGTCTTGCCTGCTTGCAGTTGCTCGAGGGCAGCAAGTTGTTCCTCCAGAAAGTCCACCCGATCGTCGACATCGTTCACACGAGCTCGAGTGTCTCGTGTTTCCGCTTGGTGTTCAGCGGGGGTGAGAATCCCCTGATCTCCAGCAGAGGCTGAGGGGAAGCGGGAACGGCGAAGTGGGGCAAGAGAAATCGGCGCCATACCCAAGAAACACGAACATTCCACGTTGTTCTCCAAAGGAACAGCGACATAAATAATCGGGACAAGCCTTTTCGATGAGCCCAAACCCAAGCGCGAGGCACGACCAAGTGTGGCCCGACAATTTGGGGCACCCGACTTCCTCGCAACCGGTTCTGTTGCATAGGACCCTGTTGGGGCAGCCCTCCTTGTTCAATCACCTTCCCCACACCCTACTCGGACTGCTCGTGTGTTCCAAGAAAGAACAACAACATCGGGTAGCCTCCGAGAGAAGCTTCAAACACAACCACCAGACCGCATGGGTGTACCAACGATCAACCCACAGGTCCTCCTTCGCTAGGGTGGGGGTAGTTCTAACGGCAGTTCAATTTAGCACCCAGCTGCATCAACATGTATGCACCTGCATTCTCCTTTCGCTGCCAAAATGTCTCCAGGTCCTCCTTGATCTCGAGCTTCTTCTGGAGAACCTGTCCTCCTCCTACAAACAGCGGTCATCCACCACGGGAAACAAGTACGACGAGTACGACAAGGGGAAAAAACAATGTTCAAGGACGTGTTGAATTTATTTGTCCCAAGCAGAAAGGAACGAAACACATGTGGCTTCCCCAACCCTACTTCGTAGGATGAGAATTCCACACGCGGTTTGGAAGAAAACCGAGCTGACCATTATCACCACCTCCCCGGCTCTGGGAGACTACCTGAGTTTCGTCACAACTGCGCTTACCGGCATTCACTCTGTCGCTGGGTTCGCAGTCACCGTCTGGTACTCGCTTCTCTATCGCTGCCACCTACAATAGCAATAGCAAGATACGGCAAGGGAGCATGATGCCTGTGGAACATACTCGGGAGTAGAGGGTGGTTTCCAAGACACTTGACTCGCCATATCGCACAGCAGAAAGCTTGCAACGTAGGTAAAGTTTTATGGTCATGAAATGTTTCTTCGCCCGTACGGTAGTACTGAACGAAGCGTGGGCGAACGCACAGATACGTGGTAGAAATTCAAAGAATGATTGCAGAGTGCCAACATCCGACAGACACGTGCAGGAAAATGCTTTCGAAGAGATCATCCTACAAGCACTTCTGTAGGCAGTGTCGACCTTTCGTGTGGAATGCCTGTGCGGTCTACGAATCGAGCGCATATCTGCGTGTTCGCGCGCACTTTCGCGGCACCTCCAATGCGTGCTGCATCGACGACTTTGTTCACCTTGTCTCGGAGCTGTTTGTTGTCGGACTTGAGTTCTTCCACCGCTGCTTGCAAGGCGGCAAAGTCTGCCATTGAGGGCGACCCGCTGTCGTGGGCTGCCCCCACAACCGGAAGAGATTTGACGATCACTTCCTTCAGCAAGCTCGACGTTGCAGCGTGTCTAATGTCAGCTTCGGGAAGAATCTCGAGTAGAAGAACCGCCATCTGCTTGCAGCGTGAACGAAACAAAAACACGATGTCCAAGATAAAACGAGGGTGGCACACGTTTCTCGGGAAATGGCGAAATGGAGGCGCTTCCCTCTCATAAAACTACACTATCTGGACCGAAAGGTGATTCCGCGAGAATAGACAAGGCCTCTACAGAGCTTGGTGGCACTGTTCTTGTCCTTTGCAGACCCTCACTGGGCAATATGCGTCAGCCGCAATAGCTACCGGACGGGCCAAGAGTCCGCAAGGCAAAATGCACCCCCACAGATAACGTACACCTGTTGCCTGGAAGACATGCGAGTCCTTGCCTTTTGTTCGGTGCAGCTTAGACCGTCAAGGCAACCTCGCTGAACAGCTTTCAAGAGCTTACGAAGGTGCTTCTTGCCAAGCCGTTTCCCGCCCTAAAGAAAGGAAAGGGGATCATAGTCAAACGATGATTGGCGCGGTATCGTCCTCAATTCAGGAAGAGTTGAAACATCCTCAGGGTGGACGACGGCATGGTCGCACAACGGCCAAACGCGTCCATACCTATTTTGGTAGGTGGTGTTCCATGGACTTACATGATCGTTGTGTCCGCAGCTGGCCACCTCCTTCAGCACATACTCAAAGACGTCGCCTTCGCTCATGATAGCGGGCAAACTATTAGGGCCTTGGCCAGATCCAGATCCGCCTGAGGTACACGAAACCATTATCGTATCCACAGCAGTCAGTAATGAAGGTTAGAGGGGTGGTCCGGGGATGGTTTCCAACCGTCTTCGCTTGAGGCAGTGCGATTTCGCTTTTGCTGGCGATGCGTAGAAACAACTACATATACGCGACGTGACCTAAGATATGTCCTCCAACCCAACGATTAAGAGGAGAGTCCACACACGACTGAATATTTGGACGGACAGAGGCATCTCAACATGCAGCATGCGTCTGCGCCGTGCCGCCAAGAACAAAACCAAGTGCACAATTCAGCCGAACCAACCATATGCAGCTGCTGTCCTTTTTTCCACCTCACCATTCATGCCCGCCGTGATGTCCGCACGAATGTGGTCAACCTCATTGGCCCCGGCGTTGGCGTCGTTTCTGAGACCACCCGCTAGTTGTAGGGCCAACCTTCTCGCCAGAGAGCAGCACTCGATCGCGTCATGAGCCATGGCCGTGATCTGTCAACCATCCAATGTGGAAGTAGGTGTGTCGTTCATGTTTTGAGAGCCTGGGTATACGAGGAGCGTCTAACGCACCGCACACGTCAACCCCAGGAGCATGGACGTCACAACAGCCTCACCTTTACCAATCGCCGAGTTTGGAGATAGTGGTCACCGGACTTCATTGCTTTGCCTGCTAGTCCGGTCGGTCCACCCACCACGGGAATTGCTCTAGACATCACCTTCAAGGCCGCTCCTGCCTGATGGTAGGAAACAAAAGAGACTAGGCTTCAAATGACTGGGAGAGAGCATTCCATGTACACTGCGATACAGTGCATATTACATGAGTCCACAGACTCTGGTCCTATCGCGGCACGCACCTTGCCCATGCCACCGGTCTTGCTCGTGGACACCCAGTCACTGTCAATGACGCTGGCAGCGAGGTACGCGTTGCATATTCCGGTTCTGACCGCGGTGTAGTATGCTTTGGAGAACGGAGGCAAGGTCAGCTCCTCCCGCTTGACGTCCATGTCCTCGGTGTGCTTCAGCTGTGCACGGAGAGAGCATTGCGTGATGCGCTATCAGTCGATTTACCACATTCCATTTTCGACATCGATTTCTCATCTTAACACTATTCAAGCCATGGCTGCTCCATGCTGAGCGAATCGTATCGTGCATAGGACTCACCACGACCTCGCCTAGCGCCGTTGACATGGTCACCAACGTCCCGAGCTTTCGGCGACTCTGCATGTCACTGAGCTCGTTGTCCACAGAAACGCTCCCAGCGACGGATGCTTCGATGACCCGTTGGATGTCCTCCAGGGCTCCAGGGTTCTCCCTGATGAGAGAATCTAAACCTGCAGAGGACGACAGCTGCGCTTTAAACACTCGGTCCGCTTCTTCGGCCTTCTCTGGGGACAAGGAAGCATGTTCCGGAGAACGGACCCGTTCCCCCACAGCCTCATGCCTTCCGTTGCGGGAGCCTGGCGGCACGGGAGCGTCCTTCTCCATCCGGTCACCCCGGAATATCTGCAGTTTCGTCTTATGTTTGGGCGCCAATCTTTCCCTCCACGAATCAAGTCCCTCGCCATACGCCGGTCCTCCTTTTGCAGGAAAATAGGGTCAAGAGAAGACTGTAAGCAGATTTTATTCCGGGTGAAACTACGGTCGTATGGGTGGCGCACGAGTCGGGAATCACTGTATCAGATCTGCCTTTATTGAAAGAGGGAACTCGCAAGCCAATGTTGTACGCCCAAGCCCTCAAAAAGGTCGGATGTCAAAGCGTGGAGGCTACTGTTCGACAACGGCGACTACTGTTTGCTGGAGCATTGGCCAGACAACAAGCGGACGGGCGACTCCCGAAGCGATTACTATTCGGAGATGTAGTGGGGGGGAAGGATGCGGACAGTGCTGTCCGGAAAATAATTGGGTGTAAAAGTATGCCTGAAGGATGACTTCGCAGAGTTCGGTGCCAATGCCGAATCCACGGCTGACGACCTGAAGATATTCGGAATACCGCGTGGCTGCTGGCCTATCGCAGCGAAGGTGGAGAGAGAGCTGCCGTGGCATAAAGGGGCGATGGAGGGAGAGGAGAAGTTCATAGTCAAATGGCACAAGGGGCAAGAGAAGCTAAATAAGGAACAGGGGGGGCGAAACATCGAAAGACAGAAGAGACCACTGCAGCCGAAGAGAGAAGGACGTAGATGGTTGAAGGGATAGAGCGAAGTGTGCCGGACGGATGTCGACGATGGAGAAGATAGCTGGAATACCAGCCGGACGTATCCCCATATATATTTGTTTTTTGCGTTGAGTAGCGACCCCCCCCCTCTCGCATTGCCCCCGAAGTGATGTTGTGTCGCAAGAAGTCAGTCATCTGTTTGTTTGGTGTCACGTTTGTAGTTGCTTTTTCGTTGTTGTTCCGGTAGATTGGAGCGTCGGAGGGGACCTGTCTCTCTTCCCTTTTGTTTCCGTTATCTTTCTTTTGTCTCTTTCTTTTCTCTCTTTCGTTGTCTCTCGCTCTTCATCCCTTTTTGGCCGGGGTCGATCGTCTGTATCCTGGTTATTGCCTTTTTCCCGTAGTCTTTTTTGTTCTTCCTTTATGGTTGGGTAGACAACAAATCGCGCCTTGAAGGAATTGTTTCTGGTGTCCATATTTGGTTTTTAGAAGGTGTACCTCCCTTAGGGGGCAGTTGGCTTGCGACCACGAAAAGCGTCCGCGTCAGTTGGACCAGTACCGACGGACAGTAGAAGGTACTGAGCGGAGACCGGAACGGTTTTTGAATGTGAAGACAGCAACAACAACAACAACAACAATGCCTTCCCCAAATAACCTTGGTTACGCTACGAACGATTCATCAGATCTCTGTTGGATATAAACCCCCCTTCCTACAAAAACCAACAGGGGGCAGGGTCGACAAAAGTCTGTCTAGTCCCAAACGTAGGGCACCTCATGCGGCAAACAATGCACTCTGCCGGAGCCGACGGACACATGGTTCTGTAGTTGTCAGGGTCATTCGACACATGCCCAAGTGGGCGGCTAACAAGCATGAACAAAAGAATCGGCGATATCAGTGCTGGCAGGTGATAACGGTATTGGTGTGGAACACGATGAAGTTGTGAGCGCGCAGCGGGCGAGTGTAATTGGTGAAGTCGCAGTTTGTGATACTGAGGCCGTTCCTGAGGACTGCGACCACATAGCACCCAGTTGTAGCAACGATACAATGAGATAATCGGGAGGTTAAGAAGTTCCCAACTTGGACTGAAAGTTGCCGTTGTTGGGTCAACTTCCTTTCGAGCTTTCGCCGACGTGGTTGACACGGCCATTGCCACAAAAAAATGTATGATGCGAACCTGAATCCCCCAAGGATAGGATAGAACCAACGCTGAGATGCTCGGACACGGGTAAGGGCCTGCGTATATTTAGTGTACTTGCCTGTGGGAAAGTAAGAATATGTCTCAGTACCAATCTTGGTGGAATCCGTACCACATTCGGTCGACTCCAGTAGAAGTACTTTGTACTCAATCGTACGATGAGGGTCCTATCCCTACTATGATGGGCACTGTTCGTGCGGTCTGAGAACCGGAGGTGACGGGGCATCGCTACCTACTGAGCTTGACTCAAGAAAACTGATCCGATATTTTAGTTGTTCGATGCGTTCTTCAGAACACGTGTAAAAGGCGGTGTGCCACACCGTTTTGTGCTCGGCATCACCGTTGACGTTACCGATTCGTTCATGTGTGTGTTTCTCCATACTTTGTACTCACCGGTAAGCCTGTTGCCACGGCGCAAGAAGGCCTTTAACCCTGTGCTTCCAAACTCAAATTCCGAAAGAGCACGCAAGTTTCCCAGCTCCGTCGGGATGACTCCTGCATAATCAGCGTTTTGGTGGTCAGAACAAGAAGAGGTAAACATTTTTTGTAACAATCACCGCATAGACAGCTTTCTCTGCAATCGAGGACTGAAATCCGTACGTAGCAAACCTAATGCTATATCCGTGCGTGTAAGAGAGCCTGGTGACGGTTGCAAGAGGTACGCTGAAGGATCGCGTTATCTGCAAACTTTCACCCAGGACATGCAAGGCCAACATCTCCCAGACAAGGGACAATGCTGGACTGGGCTCGCTTCTCCGCAGCATCAGTACATTTGCAGAGGGTTAGGGTTAACGTAAACCTAGCTATTCTAAACCTGTTCCGCGTGTCCACGGTAGGCCGGAGAGTGCTCGGGGAAGAACGCATGTATTGGTACAGTCGGTATAGTGCGTGTGGTGGAGATCAGCAGTCTCCAGTAGTATGACACTCTCCAACGGGGCAAACGTACTGGAAAGACTGAACAGAAGGTTTCCCGACATTCCGTGGGACAAAACACGTGCGTCCTTTTTAGGCAAAGGAGGTGGTGATTTATCTACCCTTGGGGAGTTGGTGCAAAACGCACAGCAAGGCGTGTGCTGAGATTCGATATACTCTAAAAATAGCGGAACCGCCCGGACGGAGGTCTCAAACGGCATTGAAGCTTGAAACGAGAGCCTTGTTCGCATATTCTCTGTTGTGCCATGGGGTAGTGGTGGATGGATCATGTTTCGTTGCATGGCAATACATTCGCCGGGATCATGTGACCGAGGGGTGTATCACCTCCCCCGTTACCATCCCCGCTCAGTAGCACAGGTACAGTAGGTAATTCTCGAGTGGTACCACACTCCCTCAATACCCCGCCTTTAGACGTGTGGCAGCAGGCAATGCTATCCACCCCATCTTACCCCACCCCTTCGATCAAATGTGCGGCAGTGGTATCACCCCCCCTGAATATCACACCCCTGATGGTTGCACACCCTGGTTATCACATCCTGTGGGTATCACATCCCTTTGTCACCACATTTCGTTCCGATCCTTGAAAATGTATGGCAGGGGCCTTACACCCCCTTGATGGTTCCCACGGCAGCACTTCATCACCCGGTGCATTGACAATCTAACACTCCCCCCCGCGAAGAAAATTACCCCCGTTGATGGCTAAGTAATCGCTAGAGTTCCCGGGGTATGTTCTTGTGTGTCTTATACGGTAGGTGATTGCTTTCAACATGAAGCTGAAGAAGGATTTCCAAATTACCTAGCTGCTTGGGAACGTGTGCTTAAATTTTAATATCCCAAGCGACATCCAACAAGGAGCGGTCGCATGGCACCGGAAGGCCAATACAGACCACGTTTCGCGTAACGCGCAAACAAACGTGTAAATTTGGTCTTGTAACGCAACAGTCTAAAAGATCAACAAGTTACTCATTGTTTGTCACTCACAGTTCTGCTGCAAGGCAAGCAACTACTGGTTGTCACCAACCAATTGTTTGTAAGCAACTACTGCTTAGACAGGTTTGGACCTACTTGTCGCCAGGTTTCAGCATAAGTACTTGGTCGCAATGAAGTTGCAGTGTACATCCAAGCGCTACAATTCATGTAGATAAAGTCGTGCACAACTGGTACCGGAAAAGCAAAGGCTGAATACACCATCAACAAGTTGTCTGTGATCATTTCTTGAAACCCTGTTCACGCGGTTAGCCCTGCCTATGCTGGTGAAGATGAACGTATTTTCCGTACATGATTTTGTGTGCCTTTTAACGGACGTGTACTGTAGCTGATATAAGTTCACCGAACCGACAGACGGATACTTCTACTTCGTGGAATGGAACGGTCTCCATTTGCCCATTTCTGCATACTCGGGGAATACAGCCATCATGGCCAATCATAGGCCAGGTGCTTGCTTCGGAGGGACCGTTTGCCACCCTGATACACGGCTCCACTTGGCATTAAAGCATTTGTACAATCCCGCATACTTCAGCGAACAAATCAGCGGCAGACATCGAATAGTAGCATTCCGTGATCGTAGCATATGTCCTACCGGGGACATCGTCGAATAAACTGGATATCATTTTTTTGGTTGGCACTGAGCTAAAGTGCCCTTGCAACTTGCTTAGAGATCCTAGCTATGTATGAATGCAACCGAAACAAGCATTTGAGCACAAGACAAAGTGGGGATCGCGCAGCTTCAGCAATCATTGCGTTCACAAGCGCAGTCGGTGTCTGCTACAGCGTGGGTGATACACGTCGTCAAAAACAGCCTTCCTCTCCTTGTCTTATCCCCTCTCACCCGTGAGCTTGTTGTCGTCTAACCAAAGATGCGTTAGCTCCTTGAGAGCTCCAAGCGCTTCAGGGATAGGCCCTGCACAGACAAGGGACGAGCGGACCAAGCCAGTTGATATTCTATTGTTCTCCCAAATCATGAGCTCTGTAGTCCACGCGTAAGCGCCGCAAATGTTTGTCGCACATTCGACACCTCTCACACCAAAAGCTAGCGTCTGTCACGCCCTGGTCTCGCTAGCCTGACATGGACTCCGAGTTGCTCAAGGATAGGTTTACGAAATCGCACGGCCGCTTGACACAACAAAAGAGCAAACGCCATCATACAGGTCATAACGACCCTTCCGACACGGGAAATCGCCCGCCTAGGGCATTGTTGATGAAACTGTGACCATTACACCTTGTTCATGCTGAAGAGCCCCTTACTTTGTCCACCATGAACGAATGCCGAGTGCAGCAGTCACAATTCTGCACACGGTTGGTATCGCAGGTAACCGTTACGAAAGAGGAATGGAGTGAAATCGCCATGTTCCAAAGCCCTCGCGGTGGCGCTAGGGGTAAAGTTTGGTCTTGGCCAGTCACGGATCTGACGGTAGACTTCACAGGGTCGAACTGGCAACCTTAGCGTGCTCAACCTGGGTACGAATACTTTGCAGAAGCGCCAATAATCCAACACGAACTATTGTGGCAGAAATGGGATGTGGCCGTTCTGTGGTTGTATTCCACGTCTTGCGATGGCCGTTGTCAACCCAAATGGATTCGACGATCCATTTGACATATTGTCTCTCACCGACCAGCTGGTTGCTTTGTAGTTAAAGCTGCCGCAATTTGACTAGAGATTCCAGCCATGTAGGGATGGAAGCGACATTTTCAGTATAGGAAATGTCCCGCGGGCGGGGCTGTCGATCAAACTGGAACCAACACACTCTCTTTCCATGCTGAACGCCGATCATTACACCTCCCACGAATAATCAAAATGTTGGACGCAGTTGATACGTCACTTTCGGTTACGACCACGAGAACGAGGGTGATAATCGAACCATATCGTTTGAAAGCCCAAGCAGTGGCCCTAGGGATGAAATTGACGATAGCCAATGACCGACTCCGTATTAAACTTGAAACGTTGAATTGCCAATGTGATATATTCTCAACCTCGGTATGCGCTCGTATGGCACAACCCGAATGCTACAGGAAACACAAATGTCGGCGGACGTGGAAAGTAGCCTTTCTGCGATCGTAGTACATGTCTCGCCAGGGCCGGTGTCGAACCAACTGAATTCGACGATCCCTTTGACTCGTTGCCCTCTCACCAGTCAGCTGGTTGCGCCTGAGCCCAAGTAGTCGCAATTTCTTCAGAGATCCCAGCCATTCCGGGATTGAACCTGCGCAGGCGATCAGCAGATGAAACATTCTGTTATGGTGAAGTTTGTTCGGGAAATGGACAATGGCATCCCTACGAAGGCTACTATTGTAGAACCCATGTAGGTGTTTCGTTTGAGAAATGAAAGTGACCGTTCCACGGCCGCAGACCTTCGAGACATCCTCTGATGTATCTCCGGCCATTTGTGGAGTATTCCGACTGCGTCTCTCCGACGGTGAAATTCTTGCGACCGTTGTGTGCATGTTTGTCATGCACCTCGTGCTCGCTCTCCCCTCTGTCCTGTCTCTAAATGGCAACCTAACAAGTGACTGTACAACCTCTCGATCTGTTCACGCCTGTCAACAAGTCAGCCTTGCTCGTCCTACAGCACTGTTTAGGCTTCGGGTCAATCAACAAAGCTGGCGCATTCATTGCATCGAACCGTGCTGGCTGCCGCCGACACTTCCTATGGCATGGGGAAGATACACATTCTAAACAACCATGCTCTGGTCAGCCATGTTCCCTCACCCGTGAACTTGTTGCCGTTCAAACCAAGAATGGTTAGCTCCTCGAGAGCTCGAAACGCTTCAGGGATAGGCCCTGCACAGAAAAGGCAGCACCGTTGAACGACGCTCAAACGTTTTCCAAGACATAGTCTTACCCAGGCGTCAGCGCCAGACATGATCGTAGCACATTCGACACCTCCAAGATCAAAAGATGGCGCTTGTCACGCCCTGGTCTAGTCAGCTTTACTGGGACTTCGAATTGCAAATCGATAGGTTTACGCAAATCGCACAGCTGCCTTACACAACAAAGAGCAAGCGCCCTCATGCAGGTTATAACGTTTAAAACCATGGAAGCCCCGTTTCATGAGATAGGAAATGTCCTGGGCATAGTTGATATCGCAGTGACGTGAACAACACGAGAACAGGGTCGTATCGCGATTTCTTGTTTCAAACCCTCTCGCGGTCGCGCTAGGGAACACGTTTCGTCTTGGCCATTCACGGATCGGGTGATCGACTCCGTAGGTCGATTGCCTATAGTGTGATGCACACAAATGCCCAATGTTGGCATGAATATATGTCATTCGACCTCTCATATTCCGGCATGTGCAATTGTGGCAGACATGGATGGTGACCGTCCTGTGGTCCTCGTCCATGTCCTGCCAGGACCCTCGTCGAACCAAATGGATTCGGCGATCCGTTTTACTCATTATCTCTGACCAGCTGGTTGTTTTGCAGCAAAAGCTGTCGCAATTTGACTAGAGATCCCAGCCACGTAGGCATGGAACCTGCGCAAGCATTCAGGATATGCCCCATCGCGTAGCTGGTGTTCCATTGCGTCCGACCGTACAGGCCGGGGCATCCAACGGCGTGGGAAAGACACATGTTCGAAAACAATCATGCTCTGCTCAGGCAATTCCCTCTTACCCGTGAGCTCGTTGCTGTACAATTCGAGGACCGCCAGCTTCGTGAGAGCACCAAGCGCTTCAGGGATAGTCCCTGCGCAGAGATGGAACCGAAGATGTCAGACCGGTAGTCCATTTGCCTACGTTCTCGAAGATATGCCCCTCATCCATGCGTGACCGCCGCACATGATTCTAGCACATTCGACATCTCCCACACATCTTAGCTGATTCCTTTCAGCCCCTTGCATAGCTAACCTGGTTGAAGCTCCAAGGTGCTAGAAAACAGGTTAATGAAACAACCCACTGCCGCTAGACGCGACAGAGACAAACGCCAGTATCAAGGTCATCAAATTGTTTCTACTACGTAGGCAAACGACCATGTCTGCGACGCGATGCTGAAAAAAACGTAAATATAATATGCATTTTGAATCTTGCTCTCACCAGCCAGATGCATGTCGAGGAGCCGGAGCCATTCCAACGGGCTTAACAACACAGCAATGCCTTTGGAGAATCGCCAACGACTACAAGAACAGACGAAAGTTCGCTGCGGGGACGGGGAGGCAACGTGTTCTTTCGCCGGTTCTTTTGAAATTTTGGACAAACCATACCCACCCCTACAAACGTGTCGTGACTGGGTGCTTGAGTCTGCACAAGCTCCTGGCAATGGGGCCACATCATGGGCTTTTTTTTTGTTTGCAGAAAAATACTTTTTCCCGATAAGGTCCACCCTCATCGGAAGCGTTTTTTCCACATCACGGAGCGGCAAAACTGCCCGCGAGAATCGAGATAGAGCAGCTCGTCCAGTAGGCCCCGATGTGTATTTTGTTGTTCTTGAGGGAAACGTACAATGAGCGTTTCCCAAATAAGTCAGGGCCCGCTCCTTTCAGGTTTCACCGCGACACAAATCGTACTTCTCGAGAAAAGTGGTATCGATAATATCGGGCCTATATGTTCCACATGCTCTTTCCCCACAAACAAAATACAATGGCCCTGGCTCTTTCGATCGCGCGTTCGAATCTCTCCGAATAGAAATTTGTCAAGATCCTCGGGGAAACAACGCATTCGAGGAAAAGCACAAACAGAGGGACGGAACTGCTGGTTCCTCCCCGCGTTAAGACTGGGAGGAAGCGATCGCAGTGGGATAGGTGGATAATAACGAAGACGCCCATTGTATAACTTCCTTCTCTGCGTGCCAAAGCTCGTGGGACAAACCAAGACGCATGACCCAAAGATGAATAAAAACTGGTGTCAAGAAACGATGAAGAAATATGCGCGAAAATAGAAAAAAATAAAATACATGTGAGAAAGAAAAAACGACGTTACTACAGTACGCAGGTGGTGAATCGTTGGGTCGAGACGCGTAGGTGGCCTTGACGCTTCGTAGGGCACGGGAGAGACAAATCTGCGACAAGAATCATGCTTTCCTTTGTTTACTTTCTCTCACCCGTGAGCTTGTTGCCGGCCAAGTCGAGGACCTCCAGCCCCTTCAGAGCCCCCAGCGCTTCAGGAATAGGCCCTGAACAGAAATGGAATAACGAACGAAGTCAGACCGGTGATGCATGTTGAAACGTTCTCCAAGACATGAATCTCGCCCACGCGTAAACGTCGCACATGATTCCAGCACCTTCGGCATCGCCCACACCGCTGCGATGGTGCCTGTCACGCCCTGGCCTAGCCGGCTGATAATGCTCCGAGTTGCTACAGTAGAGAATTAAAGGTTGAGCAAATCGCACAGCCAAAAGACACAACAGAGAGCAAGCCCCATCCTATATGTAACAGCCTTCAAACAATGGAAGCAACCTTTTCATCATGGGGAATGTCCCGCGGTCGGGGCTGTCGATCAAACTGGGACCAACGAAATCCGGTCCACGCTGAACGCCCAACATTCCACGACCCGCGAACGCCAATCACAACAACCGAAATCTTGGACGCACTCTGAAACGTCACTTTCGGATACAAGCACGAGAACGAGGAAATTTGGTCTCGACTAATCACCGACTTGTGATGGGCTTGAAAAGCCCATGTGCGAACGTGATTCATGCTCAACCTCGGAATACATGCGTATCACACAACCCCAAATACAGAACGCGCCCGCACTCAAGCACCCGGGAGTTAACGAATTGGGCCTCAACAGAATCAAAATTTGAAGAATTGAGCACCATTTGTAAGCTCGGTTAACCCCCCACACTGAAACAAGATATAGCGACCATTCGCAGCATATACCAAGGAAACTAAGAGCCCCAGCCTCGGCTGAAACTAGAGGTTCTTAAGGGCGCGTGCGTTCTGTACTACACAAAACACAAATTATGGCAGACATGGAACGTGGTTTTTCTGCGATCGTAGCTAATGCCCTGCCAGGGACTCCATCGACAAACTGGATTCGACGATCCAGTGAACTCATCCCGCTCAAACATCAGCTGGTTGCTAGAAAGGGAGAGCTGTTGCAACTTCTTTTAAGAGATCCCAGCCATGCCGGGATGGAGCCCGCGAAGGCATGTTCAGCAAATGAAGCGAGCTGCTATGGCCAACCTTGTTCATTAGATGGATTACGTCATCATTGCCAAGGCTACCCCCCCTGAAGTACCCATGGGTGTGGTGTTTGAGAAGTAAAAGTGGCTCTTCCACGGACGCCGAGTGTGCATTGTCCAGACTAGGATATACCAACGGGACCGCGTACGCTGGCATCGGAGATGGGAACTGATAGAAACCCGGGTCGGGTTTATGGTTTATTCACGGGGCTATCTGGGAGTGCTTGCTGGCGTTGTACACTCAATCTTCCCCAGCCATGTCTCAAGAATCTCGATCTCGTCTGCTGTCCTCAAGTGAAATACATGAACTTTCACTACCACAAGGGAATACGAACACTTGCGACTGTTGCGTGCATGTTTGTCATGCACCTGGTGTGCACTGTCCTCTCATGCTTGCCTCCAAAGAGCAACCTAGAAGTCACGCAACAACCTCTCCATCTGTTCACGCCTGTCAACTGGGTCAGCCTTGCTCGTCCTACAGCACCAGGCTTCGGGTCAATCGAAAACGCTGACTTATTCATTACGTCGAATTATGCAGGCCGCCGTTGACGTTCCGACGGCATGGGAAAGACAAGCTTTCTGAGCTATTATGCTCTGCTCACGTTATCCCCTCTTACCCTTGAGCTTGTTGCCGCGCAATTCGAGGACCTTGAGCTCCGTGAGAGCTCCAAGCGCTTCAGGGATACTCCCTGCACAGGAAAGAAACCGACGAAGGCAGACCGGTGATCCACGTTAAAACGTCTACATGCCATGCGGCCATTCCACGCGTTACCGCGCCGCACATGATTCTAGCACGTTCCACGTCTCTCGCACCGCTTAGCTGGTTCCTTTAACCCCCTCGCGTAGCACGCCTCTTCAGGCTCCACGCAGTTAGTATATAGGTTAAGTAAACAACCCACAGCCGCTAGATACGACGAAGCATCACAGAAAAAGAATTTGGACGCAGGCTCTTTTCTCCTTTTAAATCCCAATACCAAGAAAGAAAACAACCTTCCAGCCAACGTTACCTGGTCGGTTCTACTGTCATTACTAGAGGATACCATAAACAGGCGTAGTGCGTGCTGGCGCGATCAGGTTTGCTACTTGAGGTGAGATATCGAAGGTCGCAGTAGCCTCTGAAAACAGCCCGAAATCTTTGCCGGAACCAAGCGGAATCCAACATTTGTCACAGCCGTGCTCGCCGCCACTGGCCCCCATCTCCTAAGCGGCAGGCTTACAGGAATAGCTAATGCCACTATTGTAGCCACTGTTTATGACCTCTTCGTTCAGGGGTCTACGGTCCGTTGGGGTGAACACGGCCGTGACAAGTGTTGGATCCCGCTTGGTTCCGGCGCAGGTTTCGGGTTGCTTTCAGAGGCTGCTGCGACCTTTGATATTTCAGCTCCAGTAGCAAACCTGAACGTGCCAGCAAGCACGACACCTGTTCATGATGCCCTCTACTGATAACCGTAGAACCGACCAGGTAACCCTCAACACCGACCTTGTTTAAGCGCCAGCCATTTTTTGGCGCTTTTGACTTGAATATATGACGTTGCGTTTTTTTTTCTTGATTTCAAAGGAGGCGTGTGGAGGTAGACGCGTGAAATGTGTGTTTGAGCAGCCTCTACTGCCGCCGCGTGCAAATTCAACGATTTCTGTTTTTCGCGATGCCATCCGACTGGTCTTGCGTATCTGCTGTGCAGCTTCGGGTGTTCTTGCGTTTGTTTCAATATTAAATAGTCAACATCGCAACTTTCTGCCATTCATTAGACGCCGTTACGAAAGTCTCAACATTCTCGTGCTGTGAGCAAACGACCATGTCGACGATGCGATGTCGAAAAACATCGTAAATCGAACCCATCCTGAATCTCGCTCTCATCGGACAGATAGATGTCGAGGAGACCGGGCACTTCCAACTTTCCTAAGAAACAGGCGAAAGCTCGCGGGGACGAGGGAACGCTTTCGCTGGTCGTTTTGATTTTGGAAACAACCATCCCAAACCCCGCAACAGTTGTGCGATTCCCCCCCCCACTGACAGTGTGGCTAAGCGCCCACAGGGTACCCATGGGGTACCCATGGGCAGCCCATAAACTTGCCCGTGGGCATTCCCGTGGGCATTCCCCATGGGCAGTTCGGTGCTGCCCTTGGCTGCCCCACGGGCGGGTTAGCAAACCTGTAGCAGGTGGGGGAGACCCCGACAGGTGGGTACCTTAGTGATTCAGGAAGCCTGCACAAGCGTCTGGCGATGGGACCAATTATTGACGTTTTTATCGGCGTTCACGTTCGTTTGGGAGGACCATATTGTTCTCGATAAGGACAACCCTCATTGAAAGCGATATTTTCCCCGCCGCGGAACGTGAGAATTGCCCGCGAGAAACGACATGGAGCAGAACGTCCAGTAGGCCCCGATGCGTATTTCGTTGTTCTTGAGGGAAACGTGCTGTGAGCGTTGCCCAATTACCGTAGCCCGCTCGTTTCACGTTTTACTGCAAATCGCACATCGCGGGAAAATGACTTCGACGAAAAACGGCCTACATGCTCCACATGTCATATCCCCACACAACACGGTGGCCCCAGTGGTTCGGAGGTAAACTTCGCCACTCTTGATTCTCTAGATCGCGTGTTCGAATCTCCGCGGAGAGAAAATTTAAAGGGTTTCCCAATACTATATCGCCGGGGAAATAATATATTCGAGGTAAAACACAATAGGAGCGACGGGATTGCATACCCTCCTCGCTAAATGAAATGAATGCAAGGATCGTGCTGGGATAGGCGGATGAAAACAAAAAATGACCAGGGTTTGCATTCGTCCTGCGCGATCCTACCTCATGAGTTGAACCCAGAAACATGAGCGAAATATTGATGTAAACTAGCGCCAAGAACAGAGGAAATGAAGAGACATACGCAAAGCATGAAACATATATATATCAGAAAGAATGCAGTCAAGTACAGCATTCTCGTCTCACACACCGCAAATACAAGTAGACACATTGTGCTCACACGCAACACACCGCACATAAAAATTGTTCAACTTTGGCGTCGAACGGCATATTCCTTTCCGGGGACGTTCTGCCATTTCTTCTTTGAGCGACTAAGCTACACCTTTTGGTAAGGCGCCCCTAGCTGCTACCATGCAAAGGAATCACAGAGTTTACCACGTACCTGCGTGCGAGGATATGCACATGGAAAATATCTTGTATGTGCGATGTGCCACGAGTCTTGTATACCAGTGCGTGGAAACGTTCGGACGTTTCCGGCAACGTTTCCGGCAAACTCAGGGGCATCTCGCGGGGGAAATTCGGGGACAATTTGGAGCCGTACTAGATGCTGGCGGCTAAAGCATGTTGCGATGTCCAAAAAACACATGAACTGCATACTTTCACATCGTTTGAAGTGGCGATCACGACGGTGTACCGTTGGTGTACATAACGACGCTTTAGTTACGTTGTCGGCTTAAACATAGTTGGACACAATCAAGCACCTGCGCATCAACCACAACATGCTTAAACAAGCACCTTCCAAACTAAAACCGCTCGTGGGGCGATGGGCTCTGGGCGAAGGCCAGGCACATCGTCAAGTGAGACCGGCAGGCATCTTCAGTAAACTTCATAGGAGGCTCAAGCTACCTTTGAGGTTGTTGTTATTCAGATCTAGCTCCACCACACGGCCATCGTCGTTGACTTGCACTCCGTGCCATTCCGAGAGGTCGGCATTCGTGTCCCAGACATTGTTGTGGTTCCAACGAGTCGCGCCGGTAGACCGACACAGGGCCACCAGCGCGGCACGATCCCCAGACGACATTGGAATCTGCGGGGAAGGAATAGCGAGGCAGAAATTCAGGGATACGTCGAGGGGCAAGATGTGACGACGGAGCGGTTGCCTAGCTCAAGCCAATGGACGGAGCAGTTGGAAGCCTGAGGGGTGGCAAGGTGTGCGAAAGGCGGAGATGGATGCTCTCCACGGGTATGCGCGAAAGCCCATTCCTCACATCCTCATACGTCGTTACAATAACCCGTAGAGTTAAATGAAACTCGATAAAATGGACTAAACAAGATCCCGGAATTGGATGAATCGTGAGCAAATTTTATGTTTAGGACTCCAGAGCCCCCCAAGAATAAAATTTGGGCCGAGGTGAACAGGCTCCCTCTTGGAACATCACACGCAGTCATAGCACCACCGCCACCACCACTGGCCCCCAAATTTTCGGGCCCTGCCCTGACGGTTTGTGTTGCGTTGCATGCGTCTCAACACATACGTGAGGTTGCTGCTGCTGCACTCTCGATGACTTTTTCCCTGCCCTCTTCGGTGCTCCTTTCTACCTTCTCCCTGGTGCCGTCGCAAGCAAACACGGACTAATTGACGAACAGACAAAAAAAACAGTTCCACAAACTAAGACTGGCCGCGTAGCCTTTGGGCTTCCCCGCCATTTGTGTGGTTCTTCCGCCTCGAAACGGTGGTAGGTTGGAGGTTGTTATTGCCGTTGATACAGAGTGTGTTTATGCCTCTCCCTATCCTCCTCTCATTTTGATTGGGCAAAAAATGGGACACAAAATGAGGAGAAGGACTTGGAAGGACCGACATTTTTTTTATGAAGCTAGTGTAGGGTAGGCCGGGGGCGCTCTTGGCAGAGACGAGCGCGCCTTGTCCGCTGTTCGTTCACTACTTACGCGTGTGCATATCAACATGAAAGAAAAGGTACTCATTTTCGCTTGCTGCTTGTTTTCGGAATAAATTTGGCTGCCCCACAACGGCAGCCCACCTGCCCGATACCAGCTATCCTATCGCGACACCAGCTGTCCTATCGTGTATTGGCCTAGGCCAACAGTCATCCGTTTTCTTTGCTCTTGAGTTTTAAATGAAGCAGGTGCTTGGTACTGCACCAAAACAGGAATGACGCGCGAAAGGCCAAAAACGTTCTCCCAATACATCAATCGAGTTTTCATTAACTCGACTCAGCTCCCGTGCCCAAATACTCCACTATTATATTCGTTTCATGGTCGGGACAAAGCCAAACCCACCTCTCTCTAAAACGTGTTGCCGCTAATGTATGCAAGTTCGTGATGGCGTCAATCGCATCGTACGTACTGCTCTAGCTTACAGAGGAGTTGAAGAACTTTCGGTGCTGATACTGTAACAAGTCGATGGCGTGTTTCACCGCTATTCTTGTTTTCTGGCCACGGTACACGGTGGTTCGGATGTTCAGATGGCAATCTCGTAAGCCCTCTAACTAACTGACTAACAGCTTCAGGGACTGAAATCGCATGACCCCTAACCCCAACTTTGCCAACTCTAGATTACTATAGACTTGCTTCATCCATATGCTCGCTTCCTTAGAAAACCTGCTGTACTCCGCATGTTGCGGATTTGAAGCTCTCCTGAGCAGTAAGGGGCCAAATTGTTACACAATAATTAGCGACGTCGGAAATATCTTCTGAATGTGTACCTTGCAGGTCGCGGGTTCGAATCTCTTCGGAGGGCGATCAATACTGCTGCTGGTATGCCGTACTCCGTGAGAGTTCAAGGCGCACAACGCTACATGGGTGTGTGCACGGTGGCATGGTTGAAAAGATGTTTGTGTGTGTCCTCGGCAGGATAAGATTCTCCGAGATCTCCGGGGGGGGTACAGTACGCAGATAGATACATGATTGGGTGTGATGGACTTGACGCGCTAGGCTCTGCTTGCCTGCACATGTCTCACTCTCTAAACAATCAAGTAACTTAAGTCACTCCTTTGTTCAAAACGCTCTCGACAAGAGCCCGCGAGCGTGAAAACATACACGCGCCGACACCCCCAACACGATATCGTGGAGTCAGCTGACAAGCCGGGGGATGGTTCGGGAGGTTGACACCGGAACACAAGGGCAGCAGCAGCGGGCGGTGTTTGTCCGCGCGCGACAAGGAGATCCAGGGAATAGAGTTTGGAATACAAGAGCAACAGCTGTAGGCGCGCCAATGATATCCAGGGAAAGCATTTGGAAAACAAGGTCAGTGTCTGTAGGCGGTTTTAGCCAGCGCGCATCAAGGAGGTCCAGTTATACATAAAGCAACACAACAGCAGGACAGGAGTACATCGTGCCGCATTTTTTGTGGCGTAGTTTGGCGGAGGAAGAGATGGTGATTAGGGAGAAGGACGAGACGGAGCAGAGCTATGAGCATCGAAGGGAGAACAATGATGCACCGGCAGGAGCAATTTCTGCCGGGAGAACGACGGCCGGGACAGCTGGTGGAGCTGGGTTCGGCACACAACGGGTGAGCGGTTGCAGTAATCGGAAAGCGCCCAAATTCCCGAACGATTCTGGGAACGCCGTGAGCTGGCTCCGCGGAGAGTGCAGAATTTCCTGTCTAACGAGGGTTTGGAACAGGCCCTTGAAGACAACCACCGCACTGACCATGTTCCTTGGCATATTCTGTGCACCAAGTGGCCGTTGTGTGTTTATCAACTTCAAGCAGAAGAGAGGAACAACACGCCGCTTTTTTAGCATTCAACATATTCCCCCCATAAATCGCGATACTGCAAATCTTCGCGGCGATATCTTGTGAGAAAATCTTGGGTCAAGATCCAAAGATATATTTGCAAGATTCTGTTTCTATAAAGCAGTGTCTAATGCGAAGGTGTACCGATTCTGGTAAAAGTCAATCGACGGATACCCTGCGAATCGGGTCCTCCTTAACACTCTCCACCCACAGAATTTACCCTCAACTGGGAACCGCTTGTGGCCAGGACGGGTAATTCGATGGAAGTGTCACAAGGTTCTTTATAGGATCGATTCCAAGAGGTGTTCTCAGGACTGACACACATGGTGTCCATGGGAAAATGTCCAAGTCAGGAGAAGAAACGTGCACCCAAGGAGATTCGAACCAGTATCCAGCTGACGCCATGTGCGAAGGTGTACCGATTCTGGTAAAAGTCAATCGACGGATACCCTGCGAATCGGGTCCTCCTTAACACTAACCTGAAATTTGATGATTCGGGAGTTGCCATGATTTGAGGATACGACAGATGGATGGATTATAGATTTGTTGCCGTTCTACCTGGCGATACGTACGGAGGATCTCGTATATCATATCTCGTACCGAGGAGGGGGGCTATTTGTGTGTGCTCTCGGCAGGATCCGAATATCCGCGATCTCCGGGGGAGTACGCAGATAGATACAGCATTAGGTGTGATGGGCTTGACGCGCTAGGCTCTGCTTGCCTGCCGATGTCTCACTCTCTAAATAATCAAGGAACTTGAGTCACTCCCTTGTGCAAGACATCTCGACAAGAGGCCGCGAGCGTGATAACATAGTACACGCGCCAACACCCCAAACAAAATAAAAAGAAAACAGCGGGTACATACTGCGTCCCCAAACTTGAACAAAATGTGTTTATGTAATTTACCAAGTCCACTTTTTTTGCGTGGTTTTGTTTTCTTGCTCTGCCGGCACAGCGTATTTTCTTCCACTTTCTTCTGCATGGCACTCCGAGGACCCGTCGGTACATTATTACTCGTTGCGTGTCGGGCTCGCCAGACATCGGTGATGCGCCTGATGGCCGCTCAAAAGTCGCTGGCACTGGCTCTATTCCAAGGGGTCGCGATTCCGAACCAAAAAAGCCTCCTCGAACGGGATGAAAACTGAATACAGAACTTTTTTATTGCCCCGCGCCACCGCGCCCGCGCGCCCAGCAGCCAGGCGCCCACACAGCTGCTGCGGTTGTTGTGTACACACCCACTACACAGCAACTGGTGCAAAGAAAAGGAGAGTACATAGCAGTGAAACAACAGCATCGGAGCGACAACGTGGTTGGGTATCGCACGCTACAAGCGCATTCGTACCCTAGCGCGATGCCGGACGCAATACGCATGTGCTTCTACGCGATTTGTTTCGGGGCGATTCTTAGAGTCAGTAAGGATAATTTGACAAAGGCTGCACAAGTCACACACACACGTGATCCGCACACCATGAGCAACTGTTATGGCGGCTGCGCGCAGAATCTACACAAAATACTATAATGGGCCGTGACTGTTCGATGGTTACGGCGCTAGGGGTCTGGGGGCTATATTCAGGAATCGAAGTATCGAACACTTCCCTGTTTGCCCTCTAGAGTGATCGAAGAGGCGGCGGATATGCCGCATCTACGAAGAAGAGGACAACTTCAACTTGTCCCTTCGTGACACGTTCTCACGAACGTTGTCAACAAGCACCGGTGTTTATTAAACACCCCCAATGTGGATGAAAGTTAATAAAGCCCGTTAAAGTGCATATATCACCCGTCAACCCGCTAGCAACATGTTTATCACATGCCTCACTATGCATGTCAACATGAGCGAACGGGTGATTACCGTGTGGGCCGTTGGTGAGTAAATGACGGTCGACTTCGGCACGACGGCCGTCAGCAAGCTGCTACATTGCTGCCAGATACCGTACGAGAAGTGGAGACCATCATGGGAGAGACACATGATCCAGGTAAGCGCCCTGCCCCTCCCACCTTGCCCACACTGATCCCAGCCCCGAGGAATACGGTCTACGCACGAACTGTACTCAGCTACGAAAGGTGAGAGAAGTCTACTTTGTATGAGCGCTTTCCTTTTTAGCTGTTTTAGCATGGTGAGGCCGCGGAGAATGCGTAGCACATGATGACCCGGTGCTGGTGGTACAAAAATCAGCCATCGGCTCGGTGATTTTATGTATTGAGGGATCGAACGCGCGCTTTTTGGGAGATTGGATCTAACTCCAGTGAGTGATGGCGCGACTTTCTAGGGGGTCAAAAGCAGGGCAGCTTATATCAGTGGGATAACGCGGACTGTCAGGAGGAGGAAG